CCCATGAGTTGGCAACATGTGGCAGAACCAGGTGGTCTCACAGAGCTTTATTGAGGATGTGGGGCAGGTGGGAGCAGCAGCAAAGGTCCCCATGGCTGCCAGGATCCTGAACTGGCATTTCACCAGGGCACGACCTTCCCTTCCCAGTCCGGGAAGGTGCCGGTGTCCTTCTCGGAGAGGGAGGAGAGCACCTTCAGCATCCCTTTCACGCTGTCATCCACCGTCAGGGGGGGCTGTGGGGCAAAGGGGGAGAGGCAGCCCATGCCCCCAGGCCAGGCTGAGGGCCCTGGAGCAGCTGGAGCCAGGGCAAGGAGCCACTCCAGGGCGAGGGGAAACCTGACAACCCCAGGCAGAGGGGCTGAGCAGGGAACCGAGGGGATGGGGGCACCCAGCACCCAGGACCAGGACAGGGAGAGCTGCCCTGGCAGGGATCAGGCAGGATTGGAAGTTGTGCACAGGGAAGCATGGCAGCAACTTCCACTCCTGGAAATTCTGCACAGGGGCTCTGATGGACCTGCCATGGTGGAATTCCTACCGTGTATCCAGCACCGCTGCCCATGTCAGTTTGCACCCAGCCAGGGTGGAGAGCGACGCAGAGGATGCCGTGCTCCTTGTATGCCAGGGACTGGCACTTGCTCAGCATGTTCAGAGCAGCCTGTGGGGAGACAGGGCAGGGATGGTGGTGGGAGGGGAAGGGAGGCAGCAAGGGGAAGCAAATCTGTCCCCAGCACGGTGTGGCAGTACCTTGCTGCAGCGGTACGAGGTATAATGCATCACTTCCCAACCCTCTATACAAGTGATGGAGCCCCCTTTGCTGGACATGTTGACGATGGCTGCCTTGCTGCAGCTCAGCCCTGAGATCGGGCTCTCCTGGGCAGCCTTCTTCAGCAAGGGCAGGAACGCCTGTGAGGAGGAAGAGATGTGGATTTGGCACAGGGAAGAGGACCAGCTCCTTCCACAGTGGGCAGCATTGGCACTGGCAGCAGAACATTCTCTCTCCTCTCCCCACTGCCCCAGCCTGCCAGGCTCCAGCTCCTGAGCTCCAGCCCACGGCTCCACGAGCTTCTCATCAGCTGAGAGCCCATCAGGCTCCAGAGTGGAAGCAGGACCCCCTCCCACCAGCCCTTCCCGCTCCCCCAGGACAGCCCAGCTTGGGTGAGGGTCTCACCTGGCCCATCAGCAGAGGCCCAATCGTGTTGGTGGTGTAAAGCTCGGTCATGTCCTCCAGTGTCTCATTTTCAATCTTGGTGACCTTGGCGATTCCAGCATTGTTGATGAGAAGGTTCAGCCCAGAGCCCCCCAGGTGCTCCCCAACTTTGGCTGCGGCCGCCTTGATGCTGGTGGGGTTGGCAACTTCTGCAGAGCCGACATAGAGGGGGTCAGTGTCCCTGTGGTAGTTTGGGGTGTCCTGTGTTCCCCCAGGAACGTGCCTTCAGGGCTGCTTGTGGGCAGGAGCGCTGGCAGTGCCCGATGGCCCCAGCCACAAGCACCAGCCCACTGGCACGGCTCCCTCCCAGCACAGGGAATGCCAGGGTGTGCCCAGTGCTTGGGCACTCGCCAGAGGAACTGGGGCAAAGGTTCCCCACCTCGGGGCACCTACCGAGTGGGATGATGACCAGGTTGGGGTGCTTGGAGGCCAATTTCTGTAACTCCTGCAAGAGAGGGCACTGTGTGGGCACCGAGAGGCAGGAGGGGTTGTGCAGAGGCTCAGCCCTTCCCAAGCAAAGCCTGTGTCACTCCAGGTCTAATCCTGAACCACAGCACGCCCAGCACCCTGACCCAGCTGCCCTGAACCCAATAGGTGGGGAGTGCCCCATGACCACTGCCTCCCAGCCCAGCCTCACCTGTGCTTGCTTCCCCTTGGGGTCCCGACAGCCTGCAAAGACCCACTGCGGAGGTTTTGGCAACGCCAGCAGGTGCTGGACGAGCCCCAGGCCGATGCCCCGGTTGGCCCCAGTCACCAGAACGGAGCGGGCACAAAGCTCTCCCATGTTGCTTCTCCCTCTGCTGCAGCTCACACTGTTTGCTCAGCTCCCTCACGTTTCCTTATAACGTTTTCCACGGACACTCCACCCACTCAGGGCTTGCACCAACCCTTGGATCCAGGTACAGCTTCTCCAGACCTTCAAACTCCAGGACACAGATCCTGGCTGGGAGCCCATCTTGTTACCAAAGGGCAAAAATCACTTGGCTTCTTCTGGCAAATTCTGATGGCCTTGGGAAACCTGGTGCCATAACACAGGGGAGGCTGTTGGGGGTGAGGAGGGAAGGAGTGGGACATGGAAGGGACGTGGAAAACTGCATGGCTCACGTAGGTCTGACATTTCACAGGATGGGCTTTCTAAATCAGACCCACAGTGCACACGGAACAGGCTGATCTCACCCCCTCCCCAGGTCCCCTGAGCCAGGTCGTGCCTCAGATGGCCATGAGCAGACATTCTCTGTCTTACTCTTGCCTCTTCCAAGCCGATGTCCATTCCCTGATTGTCAAGTCAAAGATCTGTGGAGTGGAGGAAACCCAGTGGATCCAGTGCCCCGTTGGAAGGATGGGGATCTGCGTGGCCAGCCCATCACCAACAGCTGGCCCTGCACTCCAGCTGTGCACCAGCTGGGGGCTTGTCAGGCCTTAACAGAGCGTTGGTGTGTTTGCCTCAGGAATTTGTGCCGC